ATAACGGAAGATTCTTTTTGGCTGAAATTTTCAGGATATCCTTAGGATCATTATATCTATCTATGGGCGAAATTTCAAGTCGAAATTCGTTAGTTAGCTTTTCCCGATCTATACCCAGGACTAGGTCGAAAATTCAGTAAAATGGTCATAACCTTTGAAGGAATGAATAACAACTCAAATCCTTTTAGGGTTTTTATTAGGGCACTATATAGTACTAATGGACCGGAAAATAATTGAAATCCGAGACCAACACCTGACAACGTTCCCTCGTTAGTTAAGACTAAAAAACAAGACTGTACTAAATCCAGGCTTCAATCTTAAACAGGCCTTAAAAAGTTATAAGGATCATTTACAGATATGTTGTGAGAAGTATAGTGAAGACCTCCGTATGGCCTCGAAAAAGTTGCGAGAATCATCCCTAAATATACTCGGAAAACCAAAAGGAGCATTCAGAAGTTGTTTATTAATGCTAGTTAACTACTGCCGAGAATGAAGAAGTCCACCTGAAAATCTTGAATTTTTCTATCATTTAGTTGAAAACTATTTCTAATTAGTTTCTCATCAATTAATTAATTAGTTGTAATTAAGTGGCAACCGAAAGAACTAGTCCCGAAAAAGGACAATTAAACAATCAACGTCAGATACAAGCTCGGTATCTGTCTTTATTCTTGAAATTATCCATATATAAAAGATAGGTAAAACATTGGCTAATGAAATCTAGTTCGACTGACGCCAACTTTGGGCCACTTCCTGCAACCATCTAGATGGGCTATTAATCTAAAATAAGATCATCATAGAATAACGAATAATATCTCTTGTTTTTTATATGTAGATTTCATATTCACAATGACTGATGAATCAAGTCATACTTATCGTTTCTCTGATATAGCTGGGGAATCGAATCGAAGATTACCACCAATCAGAGGCTTTGAGAATATGCCACTTGTATCTCTCGAAGAATCTATACAACCTTTGATTCCGTATGTTCCAGAAATCGATCATATGGTTCATATAGTTAGAGGAAATATTATTGAACTAAAACATGATTTAACTATTGATGAATCTGCATCGATTGCATTATATTCATTGGAATGGTCTCCGCAACAAAAGTCATTTTATATAATTCTTAATGAAACTTTACGAGGTACAAATCGAGCAACATTATTACCGCCATGGTTTAAGTTTCTGAAACTATTTTTAACTGGTCTTTCAAAACTTCCACTAACTGGTCGTCGGAATATTTATCGAGGAGTTAAGTTAGACCTACGAAAACAATATACACAAGGTACAAAAATTGTTTGGTGGGGATTTTCTTCATGTACATCATCTATTGAAGTTCTAAAAAATGAAGAATTTTTTGGAAAGACTGGTACGAGAACCTTATTTAGTATTGAATGTGACAATGGTAAAGATATACGTCAGCATTCATTTTATCAAACTGAAGATGAAATACTTCTTCTTCCTGGACAAGAATTCGAAGTCCACTCTTCTCTTGATATGGGAAATAATCTTACTATGATTCAACTCAAAGAAATTACCCCACGATTTCCAAATATTGCATCAATTACAACATCAAAATCTTCAGCAACAACAACTACCACCATGACCACTACTACAACTCCGGTTAGCACCGCTGCTACGCTATCTGTAGTACCAAAGCCGGTTCCTAAGCCGAAGCCTCACATTGAATCGCGAAAAATACCTTATGAACGTCAAGAGATAACAGATACCGATATCCAACGTATAATCAACGAGGCACTCATTCAACAACAATGCACAGAACTCGACTTATCTCATAACAAAATCACACATGAAGGTGCTGCAGTGCTAGCTAAAGCACTGCGAACTAATACGGTAAGAAAGTTATCTTATTTATATAGTAGTAATTACAAAACCATTGACAATATTTTAAGAACATATATTTTTTCTAAGAATATGTTTATTCAGCTCAAACAAAAACTTAAATATTCTCAAAAGATTCATAATCGACATTGCATTATAAATATGAGTTAAGATAAAATCATATGCGAAAGCTATTTATGACCTCATTTTTGTCTAAAGTCGAAACATATTACAACCGATCTAAACCAACATATAAGATAAATAAATCAAGTCTTTGTAATATCACAACTTATTTATCTGATCATGATTAGAAACATTTTTTCAAATGAGTTTAAATTTTTATTCTTAAAGTGTCTGTATAACACAATAGAAGTTTTAATGATCACACATCTTCTGATATTTATGACTCATGTGGTGTTTGATTAACATATTAACGCCATTTAATCATTATTTTATCCAGGAAATAGAGAGATCAGTTGTCATTATATCACTAATATAAATCGTATTTTTCGACTACGAAGGATTTCATAAATTTTGAACAACATTCTTCTTTGTAATACTTGAAATTTACTAAAGCTGTTATAACTTTAAAAAAATTGAGAAGACTTTGAATTTTATCATAGATTAATTCGAATAATGAAAAATCATGTACAAATATTTTTTCACGATAAAATTAACTTGTTTTTACAATGTCAGCTTTTTCAAGATAAACTTTTCGACACTATTATAGATGCATTCACAAGTACAATTAAAATATCCCCTTTTATGTTTATGGTGACACTGGGAAAATCTAGAAATTTTTTCGCATATTATTGACGATCTCTGAGCAATTCTCCAAAATAACTTATCCTTTCTAGTTAATAGATGCTTTTTTAAAAGTGTAGACATATTTATTATTAAATCCTACAGCAAATTCATAAACATCACATGTTCTTCTTGACAAAAGTATTTTTTTTAAAAATTGTCCATATATTTGACATTGAGCAACATCTATTTATATGCACTTTCAATAAAAAATACTAATCAACAATCACATCCTAAATAACATTTATAAATCAAAACTTTATGTACTTTATATCGTACCTATGATTTACTAGCATATCCAACAGTCTATTATGAAAAGCTTTTCAAAAGGCTACTCTGCTTCAAAAATATTCACAGATTTTATACGATCACAGAACCACTGAAAGTAGTAACCCAAGTTTTTCGACAGTATTACCTACTTAATATGGTTTTATAGTTCGTATCGATATCGGTCAGGTTTTCAACAACATCATAGTAACGATCAAAAAACTATTTATGAACATGTCACCATCCATATTTCTGAAGATTCCCCTCGGATATTGGAAACAACTTAAATAAACAATGAGTTTTAAAAAAATCTATTCTCTTCTTCAGTATGTAGCTTTCTATTAAGATCATATCCCATAAAACTTCGTCAATTCGCTAATTTTTACCACACAGCAAAAATATTAACATTAAATGTTTTCGAAAAACTTAATCAAAACTTATACTGTAAACGAGCTGACACACCGCCAAGTATTAACAGAACGTAAAACAAACGTCTTTCTGTATATGTAGTTATTCTACATTAGCAACAGTTCATATATACTATAGTGGCAAACTTCCTACTATCAACTGAACACTTAGTTCTTGTGTCTTTTTTCTCAAACCGTCATATTTTTACAAGTAATTCTACCCAAGTTACCCAGAAAAACTTATATTTCTCTATTATATTCGAATAACAGATTAAATATTCAATTTTTCCGTCCCACACTCCATATTTGCTAAAGCATTCATACAAAATCAGAATCCTACCACAATATTCACCCATCCCTTCTGAGACATCACCACCAATAAACGACTATCTAGCTGGTGCCCATTCCATTGTGAGCTAACTACTTTCTATGTAACCTATTCGATTTCTTCGTTTCGTTTCGCCACCAATCATAGAAGGCATTATCGTAGTAATTCACTAAAAAGAGTAAGATCCATATGCATTAAGATATAACAAGAAAAACCTTATTCTCTCTTCAACTATCTCACACAAACATTTACATTCTTTCATGCAGACACTCACCACACTTGTCCTCTCGTGGAATTCAATCGGAGAAAAGGGAGCACAACATCTTGCTGATTCATTAAGAAATAACACAGTAAATCTCGTTCTCTCTTCAACTATTTCATACAAATATTTACACTTTTTCACACAGACACTCACCACACTTAATCTCGTTGGCAATCAACTCGGAGACAACGGAACACAACATCTTGCTGATTCATTAAGCAAAAATATAGTAAATCTCATTCTCTCTTCAACTATTTCATACAAACATTTACATTTTTTCATGCAGACACTCACCACACTAGATCTCCGTTTCAATAAAATCGGAGATAAAGGAGCACAACATCTTGCTAATTCATTAAGAAACAACACAGTAAATCTCATTTTTCTCTTCCGCTATTTCATAAAAACATTTACACTTTTTCACACAGACACTCACCTCACTTGATCTTTCATTCAATCCAGTTAAGGAGAGAGTTCTAGATCGTGTGAATGAATTTATTCAGAGGAATAAACGATTGGCTAAATCATAAATGTTAATGATGAAGATGCTGTCATATTGAACTAGAAGAACATGTTTATCGTCTCATTAGAATTCCATTGCATTGGTGATTTAAAAATGACAATAATATTGTTCTATTGTTTTAAACCAATGGTTACTAAAGTGTGAATCGTGTTCTACTTTTTTTTAATATAAAATGATCGTAATATATTGATTCTTGTTTAAACTATGCTCTGAACTCAAGAAGATGTGATAGTATAATTTCAAAGTGTTATTTGTGATTCTGTCATGTATTTCTTTCAAGGACTAATCTCACATTGATAGAACGTAGTTACCAGCTATTGCATGTTAACGAAACGAACTAGCATAAAAGATTGTTGGTAGTATATGATCAAGAGAATGTTGATTAGTAGATGTCATGTAAAATAACGTGAAATGAAAAAAAAATTTTCAGTGTATGTTGTCATGTTAGTTGTTAAGCTAATGCCGGTTTTATCTGATTTTGAATGACATAGTATTTTTGAGAAAATCAGAAACTGTTTCAAAACTAAGTAACTTGTTTAAAGTTTCTTTTGAAAACTGATCGAGAGCGTATCTGATTCAGCTTCTGATTCTTGATACATTTGATATGGGATTAATGAAAACTAACTGACGTTCAGCCATTGGAGCGAACAAAAAGTTCGAGCGTTGATAATTTTGATGGTGAATTAATGATACTTCGGAAGAAAATTATTTATTTATTTATTTAAGAGATGATGAAACCTATGAGAATTCTACTGAATTTTTTAAAATGTATGTTTCGATGTTGTATTTTATTTTGACAATGCAGTACATGTGAATAAGTTTGACTTTCAAAAGTAGATTTTCTACGTATTCATTACCGTTCAGTATCGATACATATAATAGGGTGTGGGTGTGAGTGTGGTTTTAAGATGAACATAACATTCACACCCACCATGTTTATTGAAACTAAATAATCTTGAAAAAAATTTGATTCTAGTCAACGTTTCCTCATTCCATAGATTCATTCATAGTAATTAATATTCGATAGTAATATCAATCTATATAAATTTATAAACTGAAATAAATGTTTTTATTTTTTCGATTATTACTAAAAAAAAAGAAATTTCTCGATCTAAAATGCAAATAAAAAAAACTGCATATATTACTAACTTGCGAGAACGTTTATTATACAGTATTCATTTTTTATTTATATGTATAAATATGTGGTGATCTCAAAATTGTACTATAGTAGATCATTTCATTTTCTCTTTTGTATTTTTGATTGTCTGATTAAGCTATATTCATATTGGTTTATAATTCATATTTCATCAATCAATTATTTTCGTTAATCTAAGTGATCCATTACTCCATTGAATTCTTCATTTGACTGGATATTATGTTTGACAGAAGTGTGAAGGTGTGATGTTGATATTTCACTCGGAACCTTACCCATACCCACTTACTCATTCTCAGATATTGTCAACATCTCCAACTTGCTGAACTTGATTATTCCTTATCATTTTGATGATAATAGTACACTAATATCAGTTGAAGATCTTTTTCCTTTCTTTTTCTTTGTTGCTCGTTTGATGAATTTTGCCAACTTCATCATTGTAATAGAAGTGAATAGATAAAATTTCTTTTTTTGAGGGTGCGAGTCGAGGTGAGAGCTATACTCTTTACCTTAGCTCACATCCACACCCACATCACATCCACACCACAGCCACACCACACCCACATCCATACTTCACATCCTCACTCACATACACTTCCACCCTCGAGATGAATTCTTTAGGATACAACCAAACCTCTCTTAAGTCTAACGAATGCTAAGTGAACTAAAAGAATTCTATCGGATCATAACAGATCTTTGTGAACTTTAGTAGATCATAGCAGACTCAGCAACATTCTGGTAGACTCTATTGGACTCAGAAAGATTCAATTAAATTTCGTGCAGCCTTGACAAACTATAATAGACTCTGATGGACTGTTACAGAGCTATTTTAGCATTTACTGAGCCTGAGATAATGTCAAACAGTTACATTCAGTCATACACTTAGTTGAACCAATAGATGGAACCAAACTAGGTTATTTATGATTTATAAAATGTGGTTGTGACAAGAAACAATACACATCTACCTACACCCTACATATTCTTTAGTCAAATTCAAAAAAGTATTGTTGGAAAAGTTAACTATCTGTTCTTGTTCAGACATTCTTCATCATAGATACAAGACCGAAAAAAACTCATCCATATTATATATTATCTTCTCACCAAAATCAGCCAAATATATACATTAACGCCATCTATTTGAACAAAACCAAAAATTCGTTATTAAAGTTCCCACTAACCAATTCTTTTAACGACGAGATTAATTCTATCATTCTCCCTCTAAACACTGTTAACAAAGCATACAAAACTACTTTCGATAACACACGCTATAAAAGCAATACTGAATAACATATTTTAACATTCCTAATCAAAATCTAACAAAACTATGTGCACATTTCACACACTACCAGTAGAGCTTGTTTATCGAATTCTGGACTATCAGACCGATATTACTATGTTTTGCTCAATGCAAAATGTCTGCCAACGATTCAATCAAATTCTTAACAGTTATCCACGATACCAGGTAAGTCTTATATATAGTCTCAATAGGTAATTATCATTCGTGCGACCCATAAGCCTAATCAAATATCATTCTATGAATTCATCAGGAGACAACATAATCTATCAAGTTAAAAACATTTTGGAAAAGCTAGTCAGTCATGATACTACGTAATCTTTTCAAAACAATCACTGCTTTCCTCTATTTTTTCTTAATAATTGTTTCGCTACAACTGCATTATATATTCTTTTGCACATGGGACCATCACAGAGAAACGAAAACATAGAGTTAAAGGGAACGTTCATATCTTAAAATAGTGCATATATTACAGTGTTCTAGTGTCTCAATTGAATTTCTGACATAGCATTAACCACTTTTGTCCACTTTCATCAAAAGTTCAATAAGAAACAATGAATTAATTATTCTGTTAGTTGAACAGCGAGGATGTTGGTGTGAGTATAGATCTGCGAGAAAAGCGTAATCGTGTCCTCACCCACCTCACACTTGTTTCCCGCAGCACTCAGATCATAGACCAAGAAACACAACACCTCGCTGATTCATTGAGCAACAACACTGTAAATCTCATTTTCTTTGCAACTATTTCATAGAAATATTTACACTTTTTCACATAGGCACTCAGCACACTTCGTCTTCGTAGCAATCAAATCAAAAAAAAGGGAATACAACATCTTGCTGATGCATTAAGAAACAATAAAGTAAATCTGATTTTCTCTTCAACTATCTAATATAAACATTTACACTCTTACACATAGACACTCGCCACACTTGATCTAGGTTATAATCAAATCGGAGAGAAGGGAGCACAACAACTCGCTGGCTCGTTAAAAAACAACACAGTAAGTCGCATTCTCTCTTCGACTATCGTATACACGCATTTACACTTTTTCATACAGACACTCACCTTACTCAATATCGGTGGCAATCAAATCGGAGACAAAGGAGCACAACATCTTGCTGATTTCTTAAAAAACAATACAGTAAATCTCATTTTCTCTTCAGCTATCTCATACACACATTAGCATTTTTTCACACAGACACTCACCATACTTTATCTCACAAGAAATCAAATCGGAGAGGAGGGAGCACAACAACTCGCTGGCTCGTTAAGAAACAACACAGTAAGTCGCATTCTCTCTTCAACTATCTCACACAAATATTTATATTTTTTCATATAGGCACTCACCACACTTGATCTCAGCTACAATTTCATCGGAGACAGAGGAGCACAACATGTGGCTGGTTTATTAAGAAACAATACAGTAAATCTTATTTTTTCTTCAACGATTTCATACAAACATTTGTAATTTTCACACAGACACTCACCACACTTTATATCGCCGACAATCCAATCGGAGACATGGGTGCAGAACATCTTGCTGATTCATTAAGAAATAACACAGTAAATCTCAGTTTCTTTTAAGCTATCTCATACAAACATTGACACTTTTTCATACAGACACTCACCACACTTAATCTCTTCGACTTTCGGATCGAGAAGAATGTGCTAGATCGTGTGCAGAAACTGATTCAGAGAAATAAACAATTGGCAAAATTGTAAATGTTACTGATGAAGATACTATTGTGTTGAACTTGAAGAATGTGTTTGCTCTCTTTTTTTATTCCATGTTTGGGTGACTATAAAATGAGAAGAAAACTGTTTAATTGTTTTGAAATCATGCTTACTGATGTCTGGTTCCTGTTCTACGTTTTTTATTATAAAGTGATCATAATATATTGGGTTTTTGTTTAAGCTGTGCTCTAAACTGAAGAAGATGTGATAGTATAATCTCAAAGTGTTATTTGTGATTCTGTCATGTATTTTTCTTCATGGATCGATCTCAAATCGATAGAACATAGTTGTTAGCTGATGGGTGTTAATGAAACGAAATGAACTAACATAAAAGACGATTATTAGTATGATCTAGTGAATGATGATTAGTAGATTTCATGTAGAATAGGATGAAAAAAGAAAAGTTATTCAGTGTATGTTGTCATGTTAATTGTTAAGTTGATGCCGGTTTTATCTGATTTTGAATGACATACTATTTTGGAGAAAATCAGAAAACTGATGGAAAACGTATGTGATTCAGCTTCTTATTCTTAATACATTTGATGTAGGATTAAGTAAAACTAACTCACGTTTAGCTATTGGAGCAAACAAAAAATTTCGACCTTGGTAATTTTGATGGTGAATTAATGATGCTCCGGGAGAATATTATTTATGTATTTATTTATGAGGCGAGGAAACCTATGGCAATCTTTCGTTTTCTGTTCAAGTTTATGTACGACACTATTACAACTGGATAATAGCTGGCACCCAGCACCGAAAAACGCCGAAAAGGTGCTGAAGTGCTGAACAGACATTGCGGTGCTGAGTACTGGGTCCCAGCCCGTACCCTGTGGGGCTAAATCAACAATCGTAGGATTCTGTTGAAATTCATTTAATTTCTAAGGTTTTCTTCAGAGGAAAAGACAACAGTATACTCAATAAAATTTGTCAATGGTCAGTACTTATATAATTCTGCTATAAAAACATAATAGTTTGATAAAAGTCTTATTAGAATTTTATTTTAGAATAAAACAAATATGGAAAAATTTTATCTTTAATCTAGCATTCTGTGACAATTCTCCTAAATTTTTTTAAAATTTATGTTTCGATTTTATATTTCATTTTTACAATACACTACATGTGAATAAGTTTGACTTTCAAAAGTAGATTTTCGACGTATTCATTATCGTGTAATATCGATATCAGTCAAAATGGTCTTAGATCTTATATTAAGATTTTCTACAATAACATTGGTATTCTAATAAACTTATAATTACTATGATGAATTAAAATAACCAAATAAGAGTGCCAGAATATATTCGTTACAAATTTCTTAAGCATCAAATATAATTATTATTCATAGAAAAAGAAAAAAACCAATTTGATATTATTCTTTATTTCTTTTCATTTTTTCTCATTACGATTCACTTCGAATAATACAAAATAGAAACAATTAATAGAATTATTCATTTTATGTATACAAAATAATTGATTTTTCAATTTGTTTTCGACATATTGGACATTCTTGTACACGATCACCACAACTTTGACATAGACCATGACCACATAAAAAAACCATATTTTTTAATCGATCCATACATATTGGACAATGAACTTGTTCGCGAATTTCATCTAATTGTTGTTGTAAACGAGCGACAGTTGTTGTATCATCTACATTATCCGTAGGTGTTGTCACTATTTCAGATTTTACTGGAACATTAGTATTATTTTCTGAACAAAGTTCTTGAAATGATACTATTGAATCAATTGGTACTCGACATATTAAACACTTTTTCATTAAACTAGAACATTCTATAAAATATATAAATATATTTTAATGAATTATTATCTTGATTTACCATCACAAGCAATTAAATGTCCACATGGTTTATACATAACTGACGCTTGACGATGTGAACATAATTTACATTGTTCAATCTATATCATAGAATAGAAAAGGACAAGATTTGAAAAAACAAATTTTTACTTTTATTCTTGTTTGAATACTTTCTTTACATAATAAACATTTTTTAACTCGATTAGCACATGAATGACATGTAACAATATGTGAACATGGCTGAAATAATATATCTCGTTTATTATCTGAACAAATAAGACATTCAATTGAACTACTCGTTTGTAATAATGATTGATTTTTATCATGTTCTTGTCTATATTCTCTGAAAACGAAACATAAATATTTTTAAAAATTAATCATTATGATAATATACCTATGTTTTTGTTTTAAAATTCGACATAAATGTGAATCAGGACAAAGATCAAATGGTATTTGATTTTGCTTATTTCTTACAGATAAATCTGCACCATAAGTGACTAATGTACAAGCAATAGCTGCACTTGGTTGTTTATCATAATCATTTGTATTCTTAAATAAATTCATTGTCTAATGAAGAACAAAAACTCAATATTATTTTCGTTTGTTTTTAAAATTCAAACAAACTTTTCCATGTTTTTCTACATTTTGTAATTGTGAGAATGTATGATGTCTTAACGCTTCATGTAAACATGTATCACCATCTTTATCAACTAGATTGATATTAGCATTTTTACTACATAATAACTATTGATTATGAAATTGTTAGAGCTATAAATTTTTTAAAATGGTTTTACTTCTTACATTAACAATTTGTAAATGTTGTCGACTGACAGCTAAATGAAGAGCAGTTTGTAAATTATTAGTCTGGGCATTAATAGATGCATTTCCTTTAGTTAAAAGTAATTCAATAATAAGATAATGATCATTTAGTGCTGATAAATGTAAGGCTGTAAAACCATCATCTTTTTTCTCATCAACAAGCCATTGACGATTTTGAATTTTTGAAAGAATAAGTTCCATTGCACTGAAATTAGGTAAATAGGAAACAAAAAGACTGTTGTTTATGAAGTTTTACAGAAAACTGAATGCCTTACGAAGAATTGCCTCGTAAAGCAGAATACTGAATTGAATTAAAACCATTGTTATTACATGTAGAAATATCAGCATTGTGTTCAAGTAAAATGTTAACTAAATCGTCATGTCGTTTCGATATAGCGTCATGTAACGGTGTATCACCATCAGAATCTTGTATTCCAGGATGAGCACCATTTGATAAAAGTATTCTACATACATCTACATGACCTTTACAAACCCCTAAAATACATATAGTTTAAGATAACAGTTATCTTTTGGTATTTTTTTTCTCAAGACGATGTAAAGAACGATTAATTTACCAATATGTAGAGCTGTTTGCCGTCGTTTATTTCTAGCATTTAAATCAGCACCAGCTTGCGCAAGTAATTCTAATACTTCAGCTTCATTACCAAATGCTGCATGATGAATAGCTCGATCACCATCTTTATCCTAAAATAGATATGTCAATATGGTACAAAGGTTTTGCTATAATATCTTTGTACCTCAATTTCTAAACTAGCATTGTGTTGAATAAGTAAGCGAATAATTTGTATATGTCCATTTTGAGCTGCTGCTTGTAAAGCTGTATGACCAGCAAAACTGCCATTGATCTAAATCAATTTCTATAAAAATAGAATATATTTCATTAGAGATTTTTACATCAATATTAGGTCGTTTTAATAATTTTTCTATTCGTTTTCGATCACCTAGAATTGATTGAATAAGTTAAAAAATGATTAAAGAAGAAATTTTTTCTATATTTTACCAGTTGCTGATGCTTTAACAAATTCCTCATAAAAATCACCAGTAATTTGTAGATCGAGTAATTTTTTCAGCATTGGACTAAGTAAAAAAAAACTTCATTTCTTATTCTAAACTAAAGCTATGTAAGATGATTAAAGACGCTGATATACAATCGAATATAAAATTCGATATCTACGGAACAGTTTTTCTTCTTATCATCGAAGACAATTTTTTGATTTTATAATAATATTCAAATAATGAATCATTAGATGTCTTATTTCAATACAGACTAGTGTTATACAGTTTCTTTCAATCTTACTCAATGATATGCACAATATCTATTCTATATATAAATTCACTTGTGTTTCGTTGTCAAAATTGTCAGTTTGAAATATACTGATTCATATCGACAGTGGTAACAATGAACAAAATAAATTTGAATATAATCTATCCTAACCTATGAAAAGGGAAACTATAAAGAAGAAATAACGAAAAAGATGTGTTGATATCATATATTAGCGACATCCCTTTAATAAGCAGGTCTTGAGGAATATGTTTTCCTTATTATCTTCATGAATATTTAGGTACATTCATCCTAAATCCAGATATTAGAAGATTAATTGAGATGACTTACATCAATATGTATAAGTCATTGACTGAAATATTTCTTATGACAAGTGACTATCTCTTCAGTAAATCTTCATCGAACTATGAAACTTGAATTGATACGAATTTAACCAGGCTCGATTCTGTTGAAATCATTCAACCGTGTATCGATATTCTATGTAATTTGTTTCTAGTTTTATACAACGGATAAGAAACTGTATATAAAAATCTTGTTATTTCTTTTTGAAATAATATTTTTTTAAAGTTTAAATTATAGTGAAAATTAAATCACAACTTCTAGCGCCATCTTATGAATTTTTTCTATATGTTTCAACTATTTGTGTTTAGTCTTCAATCAATGAGAAGGAGCTGCACACTAGATGCATGGACGCACGGTCGACGTGGTAACTCTTAACTTCCCAGGATAATTGAATTTAACATTATCCGAATATTACTTTTGAACATTGGACAAAAATAGATTATTCTCTTCAAAATGCGTTTTCGAATTGGATATATTCTTCGCTTATTAATTGCGCTTGTATTTCTCGTTTTTATGGTACCACTTCTTATGTCCAAGCTTGATTCCAGTAATAAACAAGATATTCATTCGCATGTAAAAAAAATACGATATTATTTTCTATCTAAATCTATTTATTTATCTTTTTTTTGAAATATATAGAACAAACGTGATAGAAGAGAACCTTTGAATAATTCCGATCAATCAAAGGATCGTAGTTTACAACCTGTCTTAAGTAATTCATTAGGAAATTATGAACCAAAAGATTTACCACCACAAACCGGTCTAGGAGAAGGAGGTAAAATGATATATTCTTTTCAGAACAATTGATAAATCTTTTATTTAATAGGAGTTCCTGTTAGATTGGATTCAGAAGACGAAGAAAAAAAAGCGAAACTAACAGTATCTCAATATGGTTTTAATATGGTTGTTTCTGATAAAATATCTCTGGATAGACGTATCAAAGATACAAGACCACGAGAGTAAGATCCTCCAAACTGAAACAATAAATCAATCCATTTTTGTGAGGTTTCCATCTAAAAATATTTCATTTATTAAATGTTCGGAAAGTCAGTGATCAACAAAAAAACCACATAGCACTATTATAGTTTTATTCCAAAAAATAATTTTTGTAGTACTTCCACGTTCTTGAATATTTCTTTTCAATTTAATCATCTAATGAGATCATTTTCCGAGCCTAGAAAATAACATAAAAGATTATCTTCTTGATTGGATCCCTTGGATAACTTAACTTACATTATTCTATGTAATTATTTATAGATGTAAAAATTGGATCTATCCTGATGTTCAACATTTACCAACAGCTTCCGTGATTCTTGTTTTTTTTGATGAAGGTTGGAGTATTTTATTACGTACTGTGCATAGTGTAATAAATACAACACCCAAAGAATTATTAAAAGATATAATCCTAGTCGATGATGGAAGTACTGATTGTATGTAATTAAAATTCTATATAATTATCATATAAGATTGTTATTATTTTTCTCTTTAGCTGCTTTACAAGAACCATTAGAAAAATATATTCAACGTTGGAATGGTCTTGTTAAACTTTATCGAACAGGTAAACGTGTTGGTTTAATAGCAGCACGTATACTTGGTGCAGAAAAATCAGCTGGTGATGTTATTGTTATACTCGATGCTCATTGTGAATGTGTATGTTTTTCTATTAGAAAAAAAGAACAAATTATTCAGAGAATTCTTTTAAATTCTATTAGGTTGTTAATTGGCTTCCGCCATTATTAACACGTATTGTACTAAATCGTAAAGCATTAGCTGTTCCTATTGTTGATGGAATTGATTGGAATACGTTAGCACATACAGATACATATAATGGACAAAATTTTCGTGGTATATGGGAATGGGGATTTTTATATAAAGAGAATCAAGTACCAGAACGAGAGTTGAAAAAAAGAAACTATTCATCTGAACCTTATTGGTATACTTTGTCTTAATTTAATCTGGTTAATAAACAGAATTACTTATAGGTCGCCAACACATGCTGGTGGTTTATTAGCTATTGATCGTCAATGGTTTTTTGAATTAGGTGCTTATGATCCAGGCATACGAGTATGGGGAGCTGAACAGTATGAATTATCATTTAAAGTTTGGCAATGTGGTGGTGTAGTTGAATGGGTACCATGTTCTCACGTTGCACATGCCTATCGTGGTCCACGAAGTCATTCATCGCATGTACCTGGTGCAAATCGACATCAAATAGCTATAAATCATATGCGTTTAGCTGCAGTATGGATGGATGAATATGCTGAATATTATTTCATACGTGAACCAGCTATTCGTACATTAGATATTGGTGATGTATCAGAACGAAAACGATTAAGAGAAAAACTACAATGTAAACCATTTAAATGGTTTATGGAAAATATTGCTTATGATGTTTTAGAAAAATTCCCACCACCATCAAAAAATGTTGTTTGGGGAGAAGTATGTCAAATAAGATTTCGTTTTTTTTTCTATTGAAATGAACAAGTTTTTTTCTCTTTTAGTGTAAAAACGTTCAACATTCAGTTTGTTTAAATGATCCAGGAGCTTCATTTGGTCAACCAATTGATGTTAGCGGATGTTTTCAACAGGTAGATTCTATGATTAGATTCATTTAGCATACAAAAAATATCTATCTCATTTCATTGTAAGAGATTTCTATTCTAGTGAAATCTCATTTTTGACAGGATATGAGACAATGATAAATAGCTGTTAATAGTTTCGATTAAAAATGAGTTAGACAAACTGCGAAGGTTTTGCATGTTAAAGATTAAATCTATCAATATCTCATGAGTCACATCCGTGTGATCGCGATTCTTAAGTCACACCTGTGTGATCGGGATTCTTGAGTCATATACATATGAGTATATAAGACCTTTGCCTTTGCTTTGGAGAGTAGATTCTCTCTCATTGTTTTTTCTCCTGATTGGAATAAAGTCTTCACAAATCTTTTCCTTATTGATTATATACTTACAAGTATCTACTACATTATTTGTTTAGGCTGTTTGGCGTTTGAATGAAGGAGGTCAAATATCATCCGGTGAACATTGTTTTGTATCTGATGGTGCTATAGTCAAGAAAAAATTCTGTATAGATCATACTGGTCTATGGGATCCCGTTGGAGAATGGGAATATAATAAAGTAATTACAAAAAATAAAATATATTTTATTTTAAAATATTTCTCTATAGGTAACAAAACAAATTCGAAGCAATAAAGAACATCTATGTATGGAAACTGATAATAATAATTTAAAAGTAGATAAATGTAATGAAACAAGTCAAGCTCAACAATGGATTTGGTCAGAAATCCATTATTAATATTCTTTTCGTCTTCCTTACGATAATCTTTCAACTTCTATTATTTGTTATGCAATATTTTTTTTTGTTATTTTTAAAAGAATGAGAAAGAAACTGTAATTGTTTTTTTCGTTTTTGTTTTTATTGGTTAACTTATTTTATTATTGTTATTTATCGGCTTTGTGTTTTATTTCTCAACTCAATATGAGAAACGAATGAATCTATAATTATTTTAATGTGGCAATCGGCTTATCTTTTTTTTTAATTTTTAAGATATTAATAATTTTTATGAATTTTCCTCGTTATAGTTTTTTTATTCGAAGGGTATGTCATATAGATTTGAATGATACTATTTCTATTCATTTTCAGATGTCATCATTAGCAGGTTCAGTATCAAAAAACGTTGAAGGATTTCTTAATTTTATTAATAAAAGTCCGACAGCATTTCATTGTAAGTCTTTAATAAATATAAGATCTTTATTCTTATTATTTTTTGTTTTTTGACAGGTGTTGATAATGTTAAAAAAACATTAACATCAGCAGGTTTCAAAGAATTACGAGAGAATGAGCAATGGAATGTTGAACCATTAGGAAAAGTAAGAGGAAAAAAGAAATGAAAAATAAAATTATCAAATATCTATTTAGTATTTCGTTATCAAAAATGGATCATGTCTTGCAGCATTTGCTGTTGGTGGAAAATATCAACATGGAAATGGGTTTGCTTTAACAGCAACACATACTGATTCACCTCATCTTCGAGTATGTACTTAGAAATGATGTTTTAATATCTTTGTTTTCAACTGATGTTAATTTGATTTTGTTCGATAGGTAAAACCTGTATCAAAACGAGATTCATGTGGTTATTTACAAGTTAATGTTGAATGTTATGGTGGTGGTATTTGGCATACATGGTTCGATCGTGATTTAACATTAGCTGGACGTGTTTTCTTTCGAGTTTGTTTTATTTACCACCTATTTTTGTTTATTTTTTATCATATAATAATTTTAGAAAGAAAATGGTAAAATTCGTGATCATTTAGTACATATAAATCGACCTATAATTCGTGTACCAACTATAGCTATACATCTTAAACGTGATACAAATGAAAAATTAGAAATAAATAAACAAGATAATTTGTAATACATAATTAAATAAATCTCTAATTGTATTGTATTGTAATTATTTATTTAGACAAGCTGTATTAGCATTAAAAACTGAAGAAGAATTAAATAAATCAACAAAAAAAGATGAAACATGTTCTACGGAAAAAAAATCCGGCTCTGAAGTATGTTAATGAATTTTGTCTATCTGTTAATTTTAAAAAATATTTTTTAGGCAAAAAAACATCATAGTCAATTATTAGAATTACTTGCTAGTGAATGTAATTGTCAAGTTGATGATATTATTAATTTTGATTTAATGCTTGCTGATACTCAACCATCATGTGTTGGTGGTCTTAATAATGAATTTATTTATTCTGGACGACTTGACAATCAAATGAGTGCATACTGTGCAATTGAAGTATATTTATTAATGAATAAATTTTGATAAAAAAATTCTTTTTTTCGTATTTCTAGGGTTTAGTCAAATCACTTGATACACTTCCAGATGAAACATTTATTCGTGGGGCTTTATTATATGATAATGAAGAGGTTAATATAACTTATATTGAATAGAATGCATTAACTAATTCTATTATGAAACTTTAGATTGGCTCTGAAAGTGCACAAGGTGCACAGAGTGAATTTACACAACATATATTACGTCGTATAACACGTGATGAACATGAACGTTCCATTGCGAATTCATTTCTTGTTTCTGCTGATATGGCTCGTATGAATAATAATTAAATATTATTATTTTTAATGATTTAATTATAGATGCAATTCATCCAAATTATAGTTCACTTCATGATCGTGATCATCAACCATCATTAAGTGATGGTGGTGTTGTTCTTAAAACAAATTGTAATAATCGTTATGCAACAACCGCATTTACATCAACAGTAATTAAAGAAATAGCACGATTAAGCAATGTTCCAATACAGGTTTTATCTATATTTGAAATAAAATTTAAATATTTTATGTATTTATTTTTTTAAAAGGAATTTTGTATGAGAAATGATATGCCATGTGGTACAACTGTTGGACCAATATTATCATCTCGTCTTGGAATGTATACCGTTGATGTTGGTGCACCTCAATTATCAATGCATTCAATACGTGAAATGACATCTACACAAGCACTGGAGCATTATTTAGTATTTTTTCAAGTAAAAACAAAAAATTTTCTTTATTTCTCTATTTAAAATTTTGTTATTTAGGGTTTCTACAAAAATTTTAAACAAGTTCATAATTCAATCGAACATTAAATCATATAATGATTTTTTTTTAAATTTTATTTAAGCGTATGACGTGATTATAAACAAGAGCTTTGATTTTCTTTAAGCATACCACGTGATTATAAACAAGATTTTTGACTTTTTTTTTTTGGGTGGGATATTTCAGATTAAATCATGACTGACGAGAATATTATACCACCTAGTGATCATCCAGTTCGAATACGTTGGTTAAATGCAGCTGGTAAAATTCTATAATCTATTTTTAAATTATTTTCTTATTGGTTTTAATATAGAGCAAAATCCTATGATCCAGAAACCAGTAGCACAACATCCGCAAACACCAGCAATAAAAATGAATAAAAATACTGCGCCGTCTGTGATGAACAAAGCACGAACAAAGGTTAGTTGTTCTGAAATAACCTATAAAGAATACTTAACTGATTTACGGATACTAAAAGGAGCGTCCATTAAGACAGAGATTCTACCGTTGCCACACTTTCACCTTATGACGCAAAGTTCTCATCCAAATTATAGTGTTGTTACTGTTGCGATAGTTTTATAAAAAAACGTCTTTTAAATCATGATAAACATCTTGAATAGATTGTTTTTTTCAATTTGATAGGCTCCAAGTGCGACAAATATTGTTCGATTTGTTGATCAACCTGCTCCTCCACCTTCTGCTGATATGTCAATACAATCATCGAAAGGTCTAAAAGAATTAAGTCCTGAAGATAAATTAAAAATTGCTAATTTAATCAAAGAACTAGCTCGGTAAATTATTTTAATATATTTTTGTAAAATAATTTTTTATGTTGTTTTTCTAGTGTTGGTCATGAAAAAGAATTAATCGAGAATAAACTTGAACAAGAACGAAAGTTATTCGAAGTACAAATGAAAACATTATTAACTGATCATGATAAACTTATGAAAGATAATCAAAGTAAAATTTCAAAGAATCTTTCAATATATTTTATTTTCCTATTTAGAACTTCTCGCACGTTATAATGAAACGAAAGTAATTTTAAATGAATTCGAAAAAAAAACTCGATTATCAACAAAACCTCAGGAATTTCCAAATCCTCAACGAGTAGAATTTTTTTTTTGTCTAATCTAAACTCATTTATTTTTATTCATTAGTCTTCCACACCAATTGATTTACTTTCGCCAAAAGAATCAACAACTTCACGTACTGATATAGTTCAACCACCACCACCACGTACAACAAATACAATATTAAATGAACAATTTCAATTAAAACAAATGATGATGGAAAAACAATTAGAATTACTCTATAAACAAGTTTGACCTAATTTTTATTTAAATAAAATTATTTTTCGTTTGTTTCTTTAGCAACAAATACTTGAAAAAGAACTTCACCAAAAAACTATAAATTCATCAATCGAACAACCAACGAAACCTACTCAAACAACAACACGTGCTACATCACCAATGAAATATGAATCAAAAGTAGCCGTTACAGAGAGTGCAACATCACCTGTTAAACAAACAAAATCAGTTGTTCGGTAATAAATTTTTTTAAAAATTACATTGTTAATACATATTTCTTCTTTTTTTTTCAAGAGTTCCTGAGAAACAAATAACACGTCCAATTCAAACTCAACGATCTAGTTTGACAAACAATGATGAAGATCTATTAATATTATCTTTAAATGAATCATTACATGAGCAGATACCAAAAAATTTACAAATAAATAAAAAATCTCGAACCAATAATAATCATCATTCTTCAAATGCAAAAGCTGATTCCGAAGAACAAAATCTTCTCAAAGATATCTTTTTTATTTGTTAATATTAATTCTGTGTATTGTTTTTTTTTCAATAGTTTTTGTCAATATAATATGTAGAATGAAATAAAATAAAAAAAATTTTTTTTTCAATCATTTTCGGTTTTTCTATATTAATTTATTATTAATCAAATTTTATTTATTTTGTATTTCTTTTTATATGCAATATGTATTGGATGATATTACGAGGACAACATCAGTCCTATGTCATGCATGAATGAACATGATGTCTTCAATAACTATTTTATACTTACACGTCAGATATTAATGGAGAAAATTACGTATATATTAATATTGACTTTCTTGACAATTGTCTTCATATTGTCTAGTTGACTTTTTTTTTCTCCTTTCATTAAACCGGAAAGAAAAAAAAATGATGTTAATGATGAGAGTATACATTTGAGACTAGACATATTTATTTATGATGTCTCTTGTCCTTGACAATAGAGGTTCGACAATTCGGCAACAGTAAGGGAGAGAACTAGTAGAATATTATAAGTAAATCCTAGATCACACACATTCTATTAAGTTGTTGATCTACATTAGTCTTTTAATCGTTCGATATATAATCGTCGGGACGCAAAGCGATGACTTAAATAAATAATATATATAGGTAAAAAGAAATACAAAGGAAAGAAAGGTAAGTAGTAAAAGTATGTAAATATATGAATCAGCTATAACTCATTTTTTTCGTCGACTCTTTATATTCGCGCTTTTTCAACGATGTCGTTTTTTTTTTGTTTTCTTGTTAGTTGAATATAAAAAGGTAGTAACGAAAGAAGTAAAGAAAAAACCATATATTTATTTATTTATTTATTTATTTATTCACTATTGTTAAAAGAAACAATACAAGTTTAGTTTTACTTGAATTTAAATATAATAGAAGAAAAAAAATATCAAAAAATATACGATGACTTTTAATAATTTCTATTGTCAATATATTACGATTAATTGAGCATATGAATACATGTGTGGTAAGATGATATATATATTTATTTACTTGTCTTTAATAGAAATGTAGAAAGAAATGGTGTAATCTGTTTTCGTGTTATATAAATAAAAATCGTCTGATTCAGGTAGAAAAAGAAAAACTTGTTTCGACACTTGAAGAGATCTGTTCTGCATCATCATGTGCGTGCACAATACGATAGACTGAGAATTTGTTGTTTTTCTTCTTCTTCTATATTTTTCTTTTCTAGATTAACATGCATACAGAATGCTTTTAGTTTCATTTACGTCTATTCAGTAAAAAAAACTTTTTATCATCAGTTTACCTTAACATTCTTGTAAGTTAATAATGTATGCTGGTGAAACATCTACGTCAAATACAAAAAAACATCATAGAATACATCCAATAACAGAACATAATTCATCAACAAATGAAAATCAAAAAGTAGTTCATACAATATTAAATTTATCATCAAATGATGATGATGTATCATCATCACAACGTATTACACAACGTACAAATTCACAAACATCAACTTCATCATCATCGGTTGATATTCGAGCAACCGATGTTATTAAACGTATAACAAGTCCAGCTAATGCGATATCAAATACGGATGAAATCCTTCCACAAACATTTTTTCGTCGAATGTCAGTTAATTTTAATATGAATTCATTAGTACCATCAACAGTAACATCACAATCATCAGTTTTACCAGCTATACATGATACGAATTCATCAAATTTAACTGATGAAAATTATCCTAATTCAATGATAACAACAATAACAAATTTATATAATCATACAAATGAATGTGAAATATGTTGTTTAGCAAATGATTGTGAAAATTTACAAATGTGTAAACATCATTTTTGTTTATCATGTCTACAATTATATTTAGTTGATAAAATACGTAATGGTTGTTCATCATCATTAGAATGTCCACATAGTGATTGTAAACAAACTATACATCCAAATGATATAAAACGATTAGTAAATGATATTGAATTATATGAACGTTATGAAACATTTATGTTAAGACGTGTTTTACAAAAAATGCCTGATACAAGATGGTGTCCGTATGTAGTTAATTCTTTTCTTTTTCTCTCTCTATGTATATTTAAATTAGTTATCCAAATTGTAATTTTGCTGTTTTGGTTGAAAATGCACGTAAAGCAAGTAAATATGATTGTCCACTTTGTAAAAGACCATTTTGTCAACGTTGTTCACAAATATGGCATCCAAATTTAACATGTGATCTTGCATCTGCTCAACGTGCTGCTCAAGATCCTACACTTGAAATGCTTATGAAATCATCTGCAAGTGGAGGAAATATTCGCTCATGTCCACGTTGTAAGTTTCTTTTTTTTATATCAAAACAAATACTGTGTTTATCATTTTTTACGAGGTATAATTCAGTTAATTATAGAGATTTAGTAAAAAAGAATTGTACGTCTTCCTATTTGTCACTTTTAATAATAATAATTTGACAAAAAACAGGTATTGAATTATAGTGTGCGAGAAATATGAATCGATTCATGTCTTGTTTTCAAGGATAATTTTTCAGTGTCGTTTTTTTTTCTTCTTAGTAGGCGTACTATTTTTTTTTGTCATGATGACTTGTTATCAGATATAAAACTTGAATTCTTCGAAAATTTAATTTAAAAATAGTTTAGCCATATATATGAAGCTTTTAAAGACAAATGAAATTTCTATTTGATCAAGTCAACTAATCCTTTTTTGTTATTTATAAGAATATATGTATATATATAAAAGAACAGGTTTACCTCGAAGTATAATTTTTGACTATCAGCAAATAATAAAATTCCATGCATGGATGTCAATCATATATTTATACGTTAGACACTATTGAGCAATAAACACTCATGTTTTTTTGTTGAGTGTGATCGTAGTTAAATTACGTTCGCAGTATATCATATAACCAATTAGAAACGCACTTCCTTGCACTTTTCTAGTTCATTTTTTTTTGAGTACAAATGTACGTAGAAACTTTAGTCTGAATAATTGTCGTTTAATTTTTAGGTAAAAGTCCAATAGAAAAATTAAATGATGGCTCATGTAATCATATACGTTGTGCCATTTGTACATGTGAATTTTGTTGGTTATGTATGAAAGAAGTTGATAATTTACATTTTATAACACCAACCGGTTGTACATTTTATGGTAAAAAACGTTGGTCAAGACGTAAATCAATTTTATTTTTAATACTTTCATGGATAATAACTCCAGTTCTAGCAATATTATTAATAGTTTTAGCTATACCAATATTATTAATATTATTACCAATAATAATAACAAGAAAATTTTATCAACATTCCATTGAAACTGACATCGGTTCAATTCGTCGGTTTATTCTTTGTATATTCGTATTTCTAAGTACATTTATAATAACACCATTTATTTTATTACTTGGTTTACTTATTGGTATACCATTATTAATCTTTTTTATTTATTTTTATATGCCAAGAAGATATATAACAGCGAATTTTTGAGAGAGAGAGAAAAAAAAAGTCTTTGTTTTCTTTTTTTTCTGTTGTTAATATTATTTTTATTGAATACGCATAAAATGTTAAATATAAGAACGAACAATGAATAGAAAAAAAATAATATATAGAAAGATTGTAATTAATGTACATGTTTGAATTGATTTTAAGCGATTGTACAAGCACTATCAGATGTTGGCATTCCTTGTGGTATGGGCATTTCTCGAACTTCTTTTACATCACGTGCATGTTTATCTTCTTTATATGGCTAGAGAATGAAAGATATTAAATTTGTTACAAAGAGTAAAGATTTTGTTTACTTTGCCAACATTTCGGCCAATGTCAAATGCTCGATATGCATCAGGAGTAAAAAGAGAATTTAATTTAGCTGGAATATACTCTTCAGCAGGCAAGATGCCATGTGTTGGATTTGTATCAAGTGGTAATAATTCAGCTGCTGCTCTTTTATGATGACTAAAAATAGATATAAAATGTATATTCATTTTAATTGTAAAATAACTAACATGACATTATTTTCGAATTCAACTGTTGATTGAACACGACGAATCAATGAATCAAGTTGAAGAAAAAATGGATGACGTTGTGGTGAACCAGCGCCTTTTGTTTTAGAATATTGTTCACAAAAACTAGCAGCTTGTTGTTGAACTATAAAGATTTAATTATGGTTAATGAAATAACAAATAATCAAAAAAAATTTTGTTTACCTTTGCTTGCTTCTTCAGCAGCTTTAAGAGCATTTGGTGCATCATTTTTCTTAAGAAAATCTAATGCTTGATAAGCACGTGCCTAAATAATATATTGCCATTTAATTAATTTTCTCATTCAATCTTACTTCAGCTAAATAAAATTTTGATTTTAGACCAAAATACATACGCCATTGTCCAACATTTTTTTCATCTAATGATGATAATTGTTGACCTAAATATATCAATTAAATATATAATACGAATAATAAATATATTCAATTTTCTTTACCTCCCATTTCGAAATATTGTGCAATTTGATTACTAATACTCGAAATAAGTGCACTATCTTGTTTAGCATTCATTGCTCGTGCTACCGTAACTTCATGAAATTCTCCTAAACAGCTATAATAATATGCAGCAAGAACTTTGTCATTAACATCCGAACAAGCTGGTAATTTAACATCATGTAATTTTCGAACTTCAACATCCTATTCATTTTTATTTTATAAATATATATTTAATATATGTCGAAAAAAAAGAAACTAACCATCACATGTTTAAACATCCCAGCAGCAGTTCGAAGTGATTTATGTATATCAAGTGCATCTTTATCGCTAGGTCTATATACAAAATATAAATTAAAATAATGAAGATTTTATTTTTAATATAACTTACGTGCTACTTTTTGATGCAACATATGCAGCATGTTTTGTATACCACATTGCAATATTCAAGGTCATACAACAGATTTCAAATTGTGCATCTTGAACATCTCTAGAATTAATATTGGATTCAAAATCGAAATAAAACATTTCTTTTATTCCTACGTTATAGTATCCGTTTTTGTTAATGAATCACTCCAATAGAATTTTGTTGTATATCGTAATTTTGAATCATCCGTACCACCTTCTGGTGGAGTAATAAAACCAGTTAATAAAGAAATATATTTATCAAATGTATCTCGAATATTAACAGTTTCAAGCATTGGATTACATATTGATTGTAAAAGTTCAAGACGTAGCTGACGTAATTGACTTGAAGAAGAAAAAAAACAACACAATTAAAAAATAAAATAAATTATTAAATTTTATTTTTACTGGCATATCTGCATAGCATCAGTATTTGATGGTGATGTACGATGATCAAACGACACAATAGCCGTTGATTTTAAAGGATTTCGATGAAACCAGTGATTTACAGTCTGCATCTGTAGGTGAAGAAAAAACAAATGAGTAATTTATTTTACATTTATCACTGAACTATAAATATACATTTTTTATTTGAAGAGAAGATAAAGAAAAAAAAGAACTTATGAGAAATTTAAATAACAGTATGACAAGCAAAGAAACTACTTGATTATGAGTCATTCTGTTTAAATCCGTGCAGTACCATTAGAATTATAAACTACCAATGAGAAAAAAGAGTGATAATCAATTGTTTTATCTATGATTAATAACCCTCAAATAAATCTATTTAAATTGATATATAGTTAAAAAAAAATCGCCAAAAGCATGCATAAATATATATAGGTAAAGAGAGAGATTTTATTATGTTTTATTAGATTGTTTTCAATATATATATTGAATAAACGAAAAATACAAGATTCAATATGTGTAAACTCCATCTATGCACAATGTGCAATACCCAAAGATGATCCAGATACAGGTGCCAGTTTCATCCACGCGCGCATCGCATTGATTACAGCTATATCTCGATGTGTGCGAGTATAACCACTACCTGTATAGGCACATGCCATACGATCGTATGCTTTTATATAAGGTACTGATGAACGACATGTTTCACATGTTGTAGTACATAGATCACATGATGATTTTCCATCGGGAATTCCAAGATCACCATGAGTATGATAATAAGATGAGAGAATAAATCGAATAGGCCAATCATCATTGTTATTAGTAACACCATTTGGATCTGTAAAAAGACGAATTTCAAAATTACGATGTTCTCCAACAGGACAATTTTTAACAAGAACACAACCAAAATTAGCCATATCACGACTACTTGAACCGGGATTTTGTTGATCATGATCATCATTTTGAATAACTACACGATGACGAGAAACTGTTGGATTATTTTGTGGTTCTTTTGGATAAAGACCATCCCACATCTATAAAAAAAATTAAAGATTTCTAAGAAGAAATGAATTAAAGAAAAGTTGACTTTGATTTTATTGACTTCAGAATCTGAACCAAGGTCTTTTTTAAGAATATTTTCAAACATAGTACCATACCATGAGGGTCCTTGCCATATAACACCAGCTTCTCCACCTTTTTTTTATCAAATAATAATTAGATATTATCAATGTAACAATAATTTCTTTTACCTGTAAGAACTTCAAGCCAAACAAAGAAATCATCTGGTAATTTTCCACCCATTTTTGTTTGAACTTTTTTCATGATTGCAGAAATATCTTCAGGTGACATATGTTTAGCTGCATCAATACGAAAACCACTAGCACCTAAACTTAACATATCAACAAGATATGCTGCTTGTCGTTCACGTACAGTTTCTCTTGATGTATCAAGATCAGTAAGACCAACAAGCCAACCATTATTTAAAATAAATAAATCAGACCATGAACCAAGTACACGATCACAATGAAAATCTTCAGGACCAATAGCAGCACCAGGAAATTCATTTGCTGGAGCTTTACCCGTGTTTGGATTATATTGATAGGTATAAGCACCTGTATAATAGGGTGATTGTCGTTCTACGGGTGCACTACTTGTTTTATTACCCCATTTTACACAACCATTAGGATTACGATGTTGATTCATATCATTACCAGCTCCAGTAAAATGATTAAGAACTGCATCAATATATACTCGAACACCATATCCACGACATGTTTGAATTAAATCACGTAATTCTTCACGTGTACCCATTCGACCATCTAAATTATATGATATTGGTTGATACCTAATAATTACATATAGAAGAATATTCTTTATATTATGAAGAAAATTATACAAAAATATTCTTACATGAAATACCATGGATTCATTGCATTTTCAAATGGTTGTGTTGACATTAATTGTTCATGTACAGGAAAAAGTTTTACACCTAAATAACCAGCTTTACCAAGAAATTCACATTCTTCTTTTATATCTTTATGTTGCCAACCGAACATTTCTGCTACAGCACCTTTTTGTCCATTACGATAATCACCTGATCGACTAGCAATTGGTTTTGCATTCCAAGCAAAATCAACATCAGGTAATTGTAATGTTGATCCATCACTTCCTTTCACTATCACTTCTAATATACCTGTGTAGGAAGTTGTAAAACGTTTACATTTCGTTGTTTGAGCAATACCATCAAAGAAATAATGTAATGTTATTGTACTAGCATAACGATGTTTTGTTTCAAGACAAACATCAGCTGATTGACGATCACTATTTGTATAAATAATATCAGCATAACCAACAAGTGTATGATAATCTTGATAGGATGATTGATAACCATTTGTACCAGGTACTGGTGTTTGCCAACGTTTTGCATCTGAACCTGCATTTGCTTGAAATTGTGAACCACTTTGACAGCTTTCTTCTCGAAATATTTCACATCCAGGTAATTCATTAGGACAATCTTGAGAACATGTTTGATGATTTTCATTCGATGCACATATACCATCACCGCATACTGGACATTTACCACAATCATTCTGACATGAACTACATGATTCACTATCGTCACATGTACCATCACCACATACAGCTGGTGGACATTCACCACAATCAACTAAACATGTTCGACATGTTTCACCTAATTCACATTGTCCATTACCACAAATTGTTGGAAGAGGACGAAATGTTAATTGTTTTGTATTAGGTTCAAATTCAAGTTTAACTGTACCAGCACCACTTGTTGAAAATTTACAATTACCACCATTTCCACAACCAATACTACCAGACCATGCATTATCAAATGTTATTTTCCATTCATAGAATTTATCTGGTTTTAAACCAGAAAGAATAAGAAAATAAATACAAGCTGTTTCATCAAATGTCATTAAACTATTTGCTTCTGTTGCAAGCCATGGAGCAGTACTACCTAAGTCTGTTTGATAATCACCTGATGCACGAACTATTCGACCTTTGTATGGATTTGAACATGATAATGGTGATGCAGTAGTTGTAACACTTGGATTTATCGTTTGACCACTACTAAGAGGACGTGTTGTCAATTGTCCAGTATAAGGATTATAGATGAGAAGAACTGCACCTGACGAACCGCTATTAAATTGACAATTACCACCATTATTACATCCTTTATCTCCACCCCAATTTCCATTGAAGGCAACTTTCCAATCATAGTTTGTATTTGCTGGTAAACCTTCAATTACTTTTTCATATTGACAAGTACCTTGATTGAATGTCATTTGACCTTTTATTTCTGATGGTGACCAATTAACACCTTGCTCACTACTTGCCGACAGGAAAGATCCAGCAGCAATAACCAATACTCCTTGATGTGGGTCTTTATCACACCCATAGACGATCTTACTAAAATAAATAAAAGCAACGACAAGTACAGTATATAAGAACTGCATTACGTTCGCAAACCTAACTGATATCAACTGAAAACAATTAAATATATAGATATTAAACACATGTTATTTTTCTCACGATAGAATATATGCCCCATAAAAGATTAATAGTACAAGACGCTATTTTCAGAATCGCTTATATAATATTTAAAAAACAAGATGAGAGCATATTGAGAGAAAAAAAACATTTTCCATAAACCTTAATTTAATGTACTTTTTTCTATTACCCATTTTATAAACTGTCAGTTGCTTGTCTATCATAGAGGACTATTTCAAATGTCATGTAATTTTATCATGGTCATCATCATTCTTTTTGTTTTTTTCTATTCTATATTACATTTATTATCGTTAAATCTAACAAAAATAACAATATTATACACGCATCTCTTGCAGAATGATAATATTTTTCTTCGCTTCTACGTTTTCAGCTGACTAAACATATAAATTTAATAGAATAAAATGTACCTCTTGTAGATATTATTCGAGTAGAGACGATGAATTCTTAATCACAATATACTGTAGGTGAACAACGATTTCAAAAGGAAGTTTTCTGGGCGCTTGGAATGAAAATAATTCAAAAATTGAAAATACTGAGAAGAGATAAATTTTAATACACAATGATGTAAAAGTATATCACTTCGTATTTTTTTTATATGACATTTAATATTCAATGAAATTATTCACATTTTTTTTTGTTTAAATTAAACATCCTTTTGTGTGAATCTAAAAAAGTTATATGTCAACACTTTGACAAGATTTCTTTGTTATTAAGTTTCGAATAATAAAATATCAAACAAAAGCTCTAAGAATTTATTATTCATCATCAATAATTCTTCCTACTTTGTCCAAAAGTAAAAATACCGAATAGTTATAATGTAGAAAGGGTGTATCTTCTGTTAACATCATCAACACCCACACCCCTCTTTTTTAAAAGATAAAAGTTAATAAACACAAGATATTAATGAAATGTACAAATATATTTTCTTGTTATCATATAGATTATTCTTCATTTACATTTATCTTTATTATAAAAACTAGACTTTATATATATTTTGATATATTTATTTTATTTTTTTTTGTAAACAAGAAATAACAAGAAAATGAAAGAACTCTGAATACTTTGTTTTAGATAAGTTAAAAATGAGATTACATAAGCTGATAAATAGTTTAATTAATTGTCGTTTTGTACATAAATACTTATTGTTTGTGAAAAATAAATATCATTTAATTGCTTAGCTTTCTCTTCAATCATTTGACTCTCTAATGATGATATTTGAGCAAGTTCCATTTCACCTTCATTCACACTATCAGTGTGTGTCACACAAGCATTCTCTTCAGCTTCAATCGAAAGCTGCTCATCTTCTGTATTATCATGAAGACATTGATCATTCACATTTTGTTTGGCAACATATGAACCAACACCAAATACATAATGTACAAATACTAAATCAATTCGTTCTCTATACTGATCAAGTCGACGATTGATTGTTGATGTTAAATTGAATTGAATTTTCAAAACCATATGCATAAATGCTAATTCAACATTAGTCAAATCTCGTGCAGAAACTTCAAATATAGAAATATTTGATTGAATACCATACTCCTAATTGAAAATAAAATGTTCTTTTTTTTCTTAATTATTAAATATACTTTACTTCAGCTCTATCAAAACTGACTTCCTTTTGTCCTGCTAAATCACATTTATTTCCAATAATCAATTTCATCACATGTTTACCTCCATGATTATTAATTTCATCCAACCAATTGTTTAAATTTTCAAATGATTCCTAAAAAGAAGAATTATCATTCCAAATTAAATTTTCGAAATACATGTCAATCATACTCGGTTTGTTGCATTATAAATAATAAAAATACCGTCTACATATGCACAAGAATATTCTAAATACAAAAATGAAAAAGATTCCTGATAATAAATCAAAACAAAAGATTACTTATGATGTCACGATGATCTTCTGCACTACTACTATCATACTAGAAAAAAAATATAAAACAAATGTAAAGTTTATCAATTTCGAAAAAAAATGAATGACATACAATTGTGAGTTCGATCCGTTTACCATTGAAGTTGATTTCTTTTGTTTTCTAAAAAACATTTATACTGCAAATTAAAACTTTTAAAATAAACTTACGATGTCTAAACCAAGATTATCGATTACCGATTCTTTTGTACGAAGAATCTAAAATAAAGATATCGAATAGTTATAGAATAGAAGATGTGTCGGCTATATATACACTATTAATTGATGAAAAAGCTGTTTTTCCAACACCTTCATCACCAACAACTAACAACTTGTAGGAATGATCGCTAAAAGAAATCATCGTTATCTTAGAATGATACATTTATCGCTTACCGTTCAGGTGTTGGCATTGCCATGATAATTCTCCCTGAATTTATTTATAAAAAAATAGGAACTTAATGATTAAAAATTAAAATAATAAAAATAGAAATCTTATCCATCAGTCTTTGATCTACTCAAGTGTTAATAGTCTTCGCTTCTGAATAATTCTTTTCAAATGCATCCAGTATAATAACTAATAAGAGAAGTGGATGCAAATAATCTCTGTGTAAAGACATCTCTACTGCATTGTCTTTCATATATAAAAAAAAGAAGAATAAATAGAGCAATCAACCGTTTCACCTGTACAGAAGAAGAAAAAGAATGACAAGAGAAAAGGAGAGAAAGTTTATGAAATGTACTGTGCATATAAATAATTCACTTGAAATAGACTATATTTAGATATTTATAAAAAGGGTGAAGCGACAATTCTACTAAATAAAAAAAAGAGAAGGTTAATGGTGTGGTAGAAGAAAAAGAAATTGAAAATGTAATCACGTGTTTTTTACTTCTCAAAAATAAAACTTTGCGAATGTATATAAGATCGTGACGCGACATTTGCGCGTCGACACCTACGCGCACTGCATATGCGCACAGGGCATGGACGCGCAGTACGCTTGCGCACAAAAAAGTTTTTTTTTTCGTTCTGTTCTCATGTGATTGAATTACTCATGTATTAACAGAAATAAAAATGTTCTGTTAGTGACATTTGTTTATTACGAAAATACATAGAAGATACCAATGACAATCAAAAGATTATCTAATTTTAACATCAAACTTGCTTTTTACATCAAAATGATATTAAAGCTAAACAAAATAAATCAGATAAAATTATAAAGAGAAAGTATATACATATGTGTGCGTATTATTTTAATAATTTCTAAGAGATATAAATATGTCTTTTATAAAATCACTTAAAGACAAAGATCAACGCATAAATATGAAAAAATTGATCTTCGAATATGAAACATGGTCAAAGAATTTCATACTGTTTCTAGGAACGACCACTTTAAAATAGCCAGATCTGTGTTTAATTTCTGAATGACTACGCTCTTTATTCTCAATTATTGTTCACTTAGCGTATTTGTTTGTTTATTGTACATAAATACTATCTATCTCTGTTAAAAATTTATATTAATATATTTTTTGAAATTGAGAACGTTTTTTCTATCAGCAGTTAAATATATATTTCCGCTCGTTCATAATTCAAATCCAATTTAAGAAAAAAATAGTTTATTATCTTTTCCTCAATGCGTCTGCAAGTGTTTAGACGCGTAATCGTCGTGCACGTAAACGTCGGTCAATCACACTAAGTTCGAATATTCAAATTTAACTAGTAATATCGATCAGAAAACATATCTTTATTATAATCATGATTTATACCATGAATATGGACATAAGATGTAAAATTTACTAAATATACACCAATTCCAGTCCTGACTGATGCATATCTATTTCAGACTATAACTTATGCATGCCAAAGATTTTTATGTGAAAAGTCGGAAGAAAAAATCTTATTCAGAACTGTTCGTATGAAAGATATCATTTGATTAAAAACATGATTCATCTAGCTTAGAGTATCCCTTTTCTTTTTTTTTTTGTTGAACTTTGTAATGGATATGATGAGATCATTTCTCAGTTATTATCAAAATATGTGTTCCATTATTTCGGAGAATTAATTAACTTCTACGATTTTGTATTGTATGTATATATACAGAGAAATCTCCGATATTTAAATCAACAGTATAAGCTTTCTTCTTTCATCGCTTCTGTCGATCTTTATTTATCAATATTTATCTACTCTTGTTATTCGAGATCAAATTCAATGTTCAATATGCTGAAAGTAACAAGAAACTGTTTTTTTCTAATTATTATTGTGTCTGTAATGAATACTGACTTATTTATTTATTTTATTTTTGTAGTAACATATGATTTTGAAAATATAATTAAAACTGTTACTTAATATGTTGTCAAATAACAAAGAAACAGCAAAAGAGAAAAAAAAATAGTTAATAGCAGCAGTTGTGTTTTCTTTATATTTGAACACATCACACTATTCTACTGCATTCATTCTGAAATCAGATTGAGACAATGATAGATTTTAACAAACGATCGTTCTGGAATTTTACATTAAAAGAGATATTAAGTATTATATCTTCAGTTGCTATACCCATAGCTCTTGCTATCTATACTGCCATTGGATCTCAACAACAAAAACAACAAGCTGAGAAAAAACAAAAGTTTGATTTTGAACAATCAACACAATTAAGACAACAAACACTTTATGATGAATTTTTAAATAATATTTATAATTTGGATAAAGATGATTATCTCAACGATACAAAAAATCCATGGGCATTCGCAAATGCGTATTATCGTGCTGCTCATCGTCAATGGGACACAATACGTAAAGCAGATGTTATACAATTTTTTAAAGAAAAACAATTAATTGGTAGAAATAATTGTAGTAATGGATGTAGAACAACAAATCTAGATGATATAATCCGTTTAAATGAGTTAAACTTTGATAATGTACATCTAGCAAGTGAAACTGGTGTATTAAATAAGTTGAATTTACAATGTGTTTCTTTTGATCAGGTATCAATGTCAAATGGGGAGTTTTCATCTGTTAATTTAAATGGTGTGTCATTTGATGGAGGACGATTAGATAACGCGAAATTTGATGATTCATCTTTACTTTGTGCTAGTTTTAATGGTGCAAATCTATCGGGAGCAGATTTTGGAAACTCTGATCTAACAGGTGCACATTTTTCAAACAGTGATTTGTCAGGAGCTAAAATAACGGAAGATCAAATAAAACAGGCATCTTTTGATAATGTAATTATGCCAAACGGCGAGAAGAGCAAAATTAAATCATCAACGACAACAAAAAAACTTATAGCACAAACAGCAACAATAATAAAAACAAAAATATCCACAATAACATCAGTATCATCATCATCAACAGCAACATCATCATCATCAACAACAACATCAACATTATCAACATCATCAACAACGTCATCGTCTTCAACAACGTCGTCGACAACAACATCCTCATCAACAGCAACACAAATAGGTCAGTAATATGCCACATGAATCATACTACCTTTTTTAGTTGCCAATCGATATATTGTTGTTTAGTTTGAGAAACTGTACTCTTAGAAGTTTCTGTTTTTTCTTTGCTGAATATGTTTGATGACAGTAAGTAATTCTCACGCACCATTTCTGTTTGGATATTATTTTCAAAGTTACTCGTATTATGTTTGTAGTATTGCTGAAACAGTTTTATTTACTTTTATGTTTATGATATAGATTCGCGTAGAATTTTATTCAGAATCAAATCTAGAATCTTTTAAGGGAGAGAACTCAGCTCGAAGCTACAAGAACTGGTGAGAGGTCCACAAGACACAAAATTTATTCAGTTTTACCTTTAGATGTACTTGTCGATCTTTGGTATGTTAGATTTAACTTTTCTATAGATACTTATAAGATCAAAGGTATTAACGAGACTACTATGTTCTGTAGAAAAGTAAAAGAGGACAAATTTCATTTCTCCTGGACCTCTTTTGTTCAGTTTAAACTTCTAATGTAAACTTCAGAAAGAATCAGCCATTCTCATTTTATACTTCGAGGTATTGTATGTCTGTTCGTTTGAGTGAAGAGATTTCCCAGTGTACTTGAATAAATCGACCTACAGTCAGTGCCAAAAGTTTAAACGAATTCGATTTTTTCGCATTTTTTTGCATATTTGTTTTAACAACTTTTTCCTGTTATTAACGAGTATCTGTATGATTCAAACGGTGATCTAAGTAGTATGAGAGACCTACTATATGATGTACTGGAAGCAGTTCTTCCATTTGTCTTTATAGGTTATTTATAGTGAAAATGATTTTTTTCACAAAAAAATAGGTTTTTAAGCGTTTTAGTATTTCGCATTTCCTAACCAAGAAATTTTCTCAAAAAAAATTACAAAATATACCAATCGATAGAGCTTGAAATTCTCTATCATTTGCTAAAAAAAGATTTTTCCCTAAACTGTAGTATCATTTCATAAACGTGATTTTAGTGACAAA